TATCTCTGCTTCCAATGACAAACTGAATTTGGGAGATCACTTCACTGAGCAAGCCAAGCCATCTTTTGAATATAATATAGAAGTGTTTGCACTGCAGTAGAGGGCACCGTATGAGTGATATGGATTGGGTCGGGATGTCCTCAGATCAAATGCTCTACTTCAGGGATGTCAAATTCATGGCGTCATGTCATGACGTATCATGACTTTTTTCCCTTTGCTAAAACAGGAGTGGGCATGGCCAGCACATGACACATCTGGCCCGCAGGCTGCGAATTTGACATCCCTCCTCTACTTGGGTTAAAGAAGCATACCATCAGCACTGAAATTAATCTAGCCATCTGTAGATAACCTGTCCAAGCCAACTTCTGTAGATGTTGATAGGAGCATAAAAGCTAAAAAATAATTTGTGTGAAGATCATACAAAGAATCCCAAATAGTAGAACAGCCATCCTGTAGAAGTGGGATTACCACAACATCAGATGTTGCACATTTAATCCAGGCAGACTCTCCATAAACTAACAAGGTGATGTGTAAAAAAAAAAATTACTGGGTTACAGTTCTCCCAACTTGCTCTTCTTCCCCGGCAGGTTTCTGTTCCAAAACTATATCTGAAATATGAATGAAGTAATTCTAAAAAAAAATCAGCTTCATCTCTGAATGTCTGCAGTTGGCTGACAACCTAATCAAACTTCTTTCCCACAAAAAAAAAAAGTTAATAGTTAACACCTGAGTCTGAGTCAAATTTTAAGGTGGTTTTTTCCATTTTAGTTGTCTGACTGTTTTCTGCTTTTAATGTTCTCATCTAACAGGTGGATTTTACATAACGTTGTCTTTCATCCAATATTTTCTCTCAGAATTCCATTGTTCATTTCTTGTTGATTTTCAAGTGTTCTTCATTTTACATATATTTGGACAAAATATATCATTAGTGCAAATAAATAACTTTCTGTGAAGCTAAGTCTAAAAGCTCCGAACCCTTAAATTTTACTGGTTTAAATCTGAATTTTTATATATGGTATAAAGCATGATTATTTTGCATTTGCTTGAGGGCCTTTTTCATTTTTACCACTGTTTTTGCTGTGCATATTTCAGCTTCAATAAAATTTCAATAATATAGTATATAAAAATGATAAATATAATCACTTTATTTTTTTAAAAGTTGCACACATTTATAAAGGCAATAGCTGCATCTGTAAACTATAAAAAATTAATCCAGTAGTAATTTGGAAAATAATTTCAAGAATGCTGAAATTTTAATAAGACTTATTAATCTGCTGTCAGCCACTTAAGGATTTTGCAGTTTCACAGTAGTGAACCTTTATTTTCTGAAAACTTTAGCTCCTCCTGTGTTCTAGGAAGAGCACAGCAGAAACACAACTGTTGTATTGTTCTGTGCAGTGCCTTAACAGTTTATAGTTATTAATTTACAGATTTACTCCCAATCCCAAATGTGATCTCCTATTCATTCGGTTACCAACCTCAACTGTTTTGAAAAAATTATACCTACTGAATAAAAATATCTTTAAAATGTGAACAAATGGTTATATTTTGTTTTCATTTTCATGTGTTCTTTTTAAGAGAGGATAATCCAGCAGTTTCTCTGGAGGTGGGGAGATACTTTCTGCATCTAAATTCTGTTGTAAATTAGTTTTATTTAATATTAAAAAGGATTAAATCATAATGCAGTACGATCGGATGAGACTTAAAAAGTCACTTTTATAATAGTGGATACAACACTAATACCAGCATAATAATTATCTACTTCAAAAATTGTTACCTTTGGTGATCTTAATATATGTACTTTGCATCCTCATAGTTTATTTATTTTATTTATTTACTTTTTATTTGTCAATTGCTTACAAGATAATAGGTATAAGTAAAAACATAGTTATGAATACATGGATACATATAAGAAAAATAAAAAACATATATATAAAAGAAACAATAGGACAGGGACGGTAGGCACGTTGGTGCGCTTATGCACGCCCCCTACAGGCCTCTTAGGAAAGGGGTGAGGTCAATAGTAGACAGTCTAAGGTTAAAGTTTTTGGGGTTTGGGGAAAAAAAACCAGAGTCAGGTAGAGTATTCCAGACATTGACCACTCTGTTGCTGAAGTCATATATAATGTAGAACAGGGGTGTCAAATTCAAAGTCCGGGGGCCAGATCCAATCCACAGAGTGCTTAAATTTGGCCCATGGGACCACCCTGGAAACAGCGAAGGACTGGCCCGTGATGCCTCTGCCAGTGAAAATGGAGCTGTTTTCGCTGGCAGAGGGTTGCAGGAGGCCGTCCCAGCCAAAAACAGAGCTCACGAGGGCCACACATATCCCCCCTGAGCTCCCCCCCATGGCGGTGTGAGCATTGGCAGAATGCTTGGGCCACCACAGGCTCCCCTGACATGAGTGATGTCATGCTGGCCACGCCCACCCCAGCCCCCCAAGGTTAAACACAGCCCTGATATGGCCCTCAATGAAATCAAGTTTGACACCCCTGATGTAGAAAATTAGCTTTCATAATTAATAAACTGAGGGGCCCTTGCAGAACAGATTTTTGAATGTGAGTACAAAGAATATCTTAGCCCTGCTATTTCCTCCTCTGCCCGTCCCCCGATGCCTTTCAGCTTGAGATTCCAGCTGTAGAATATACTATTTTTCACATCTGTTTTGGAGGTTGTGCAGTTGGATGCTTCTGTCACTCAGTTCTTAATTGTTATTCTGGAAGGCATGTGTAAAGCTATGCATTAAAATTCAGATACCTCTAGAATTTCTTAAAAGCAAGATTCTGAAAATGAAAAGGGCTGTGTTTTGAAGACTTGGACAAAGTTGCCATATTCTTGGGAAGAGATTATCTGATATTGATTGGACCAAGAAAGAAAGCCCTCATTTATTCAAAGTACATAAAATCTTCACTTTTCCGTTGAGAGCAGCGTTTGAGTAGCAGGTGAATAAATTGCTCTAATTAGTTTTGCCTGGTGGGTCGATTATTGGATTCTGCAGATCCACCTGCTTCCTTTTTTGTTTCACTTTCCTGAGAACTACTTGATCACATCCAATTCTTTTTTTTCTCTCCTGTTGCTTTGAAGAAAATTTGCTGAAGCAAAGTTTTGACAATCTCTGGATAGAACCAACTTAATCGTCCAGGATCTTTGCTTATATGATTTTGTGTTTCTGGGCCATGTTTGTTCTGATAAAACTTTTATTTATATACTGTATAAATATACTGTACAGTATATAAATATACTGTATTTATATACTGTACAAATATAGTTGATAACTATATTTGTACAGTTGACTTAAGCCTGATTTATATATAACCTCAGAGTTTCATTCCAGCAAATAAGAAAGGACAAGAAAACCATAGTGATTTAAATCAGGGTCTAATGAGAATCAAAAAGTTGTATCCTTGCTCCAGAAGCTTATGTTTCTATTAGCTGTTTGTATCTGTCACCTAAGTAACATCTTTAGAGTTTGGTAGACAATTCAAAGTAAGCTGATAGTTCTTTATTAATACAAGACAAACTAAGTTTAGGACTATGCAGCTACAGGTAAGTCCTTGGGATACTATGGCAATTGGGACTGGAATTTTGAACTGCTAACCAATGTGGTTGCAAAGTACAATGACAATTCCAACAGTGCTGATTGCTGATGTAACCCAGAGACCACATGAATGTGACAGAGTCCTAGGCAAGCAGGTGAGAACTGTGGTTGGATGGATGAGTGTGATCACTGCCCCAGACACGTCTCCGGATACCTCTCCAGATGTCACTTCAGAGGAGGATGAACCAGTTCCAGTCACGTCAAGAGGGGAGTTGGTGCCAAGCAGCTGGCTGAGAGTGATTTGATGGAAGCCCAGCTGCTAGAGGACAGCCCTGAGGCTTCAGGTGGGGAAAGCAGGCAGCTGCAGCTGGTTAGTGATGAGGAGGAGAAACTGCCTTCTGTGCCCGATCCAAGAACATGCAGGGCAGAGAAAAGTCAGGTGCAGCAAAGGTCAGCCTGATTACTCATGAGGAGGCAGCCTCATCCCTCTTGATGGGCTGCACCAAAAGCTGCCCATTTAGCACAGCAGACAGACAGAGACAATGCTGGGAAACAATGTGTTCATTTCCTAGCTGTGTGTTTCTTGGATGTTGTGATTCCTGCCTTGCTTTGGATTGGTTTCTTGCCTCGTGAATCCTCTTGTGTTGGGGGATTTAATTTTGCCTGATGGATTTGTCTTGTTTGAGAAACTTTCAAGTGCCCTGTGGACTCATTGGCCATTGCTCTGTGGATTAGCATTGGCCTGCTTTTGGCTGGACTCAGTTCTGGGATTTTGGTGAAGGGAATTGCTGGGGAATATTAATAAACCCACTGAAGCATTGTTATGTGTGCAAGTGAGTGGAAAAACACAATGAGTGCTGTGGGTAGGCAGTATTCAGTACAGCTGGGCCTGTGAGGACGACCTCTGTACACGGGGAAGTGCTGTGAAGTACGAGATCCCTGTATGCTAATCCCCCCAAAAGATGTGGCTTTTTAAAGAACTACTGACAGAGCAAGCATGTTCACCCTCGATCCAAAGCATCTCTCCTGCTTTGGATCTGCACAACCATCTAAAAATCATCAACTTTTGCATCACACACTTACATCAGTTCTGAGTCAATGTTATCCTCCTCTTTCACATTTTCTGATTTTTTTTTTAATCTTGACTGCTGAATATGCAAGGGCTTCTAGTAAAGGAACTCCAACTGAAAAAGTAACACCAACATTTGGTTTTATTTCATAAATAAGGTAATAGAATATGCAGCGCAATATGAAAAAATAAAGAAGAGCCTAGTTCAATTCAGTTAAAAGGTTTACTTTGAATAGTTGTTTCAGTAGCTCATTAAACACCCAGGGCTGATTCTGAGCCAATTGTTGGTTTATTTGTATCCCATCTTTATTATTTTTACAAATAATTCAAAGTGGCGAACATCTGCAACACACTTTCCTCTTATTTTTCCCCCACAACAAGTGAGTTTGTGCTGAGAATGAATAACTGGCTCAAGGTCACTCAGCTGGTTTTTATGGCTAAGGTGGGACTCGAACGCACAGACTTCTGGTTCCTAGCCTGGTTCATTAACCACTAACCCAGACTGCCTGTCTGTGACCAAACTGTGCCCTGTATATGTCTCACAAGCTTTGGTTCCACTCATTACAATGTTCTCGTCACAGAGATTCAAAGGGACATCATAATAGTTCAGCATAAATTTATGAAGACCTCGGTAAAATAATTGCCTCACCACCTGGAAAAGGTTACTAAGTTATTTCCAAAGCTCTGGGAACCATTGGTCTGCAGAAATATTGACTTGTAATGGAGAAGACTAGCGGCAAGAGTGAATCTTCCCAAGTGTGGGCATTGCTGTCAAAATTAAAGGATCTCCCATTAGCTCTAAATGCAACACAAATATGCAGGGTAGGAAGCCATTGTCTGGATGGGATATGGCAAAACAGATGGGTTCCAGGTCAGCAAAGGAGTGAAAGGGGTTTTAGAACCACACATTAAGAATAGGAACCCCAGATTAAGTTCCAGTTAAATTGATGTGCTGCTCATGCCTGCATACAAGAATCTAGTCAACTAAAGGTCAGCACTAAATTGGTGCTAGATAAAAGTTAACCGAATTCAAGAGAGGGTGGACTTAAACCTTTTGTTGGAAATAATGACTCCAGGCTAATTCCTTACTTGGCTCTTCCCCCCAGGCTTTGCCTGTGCTTGTCTGACAGAAACAATGTTTGTATATTCCCCTTATTTATTTTGTCTCTATATATAGTTGAATACTCAAAGAATTCATTAAAATGTGGCTTCTGGAATATCAAACAACACAATAGCTGTGATGCACCACATATTATTTAAGTTCTGCATGAGGGTATAAATTGGGAGAAAGACCTCACTAAGAACTGTCCTAAAATTGGACAACTCTGTGTGTGTCTTAGAACTAGTGTTCTTCATCAGTGAAGTTAACTGGTAATGGTATAAAATAAAATTATTTTCAAACTATTTAGAATGATTTCTCCCCCCCCCGCCCCCGCCCTTGAATCCTGGATTCAAACACTCTTCG